GCACTGACTGGTTCCTTGTATGCCAGAAATGAAGAATGTAGTAGCCATTGTTAGAAAACACCGAACAGAAGATTCTGTGTTCTGGTTGATCACCTGGTAAAATTTCTTGAATTTTCTGCAAGCACTGAATGCATGCCTGTAGCTCAGAGAGGTGATTTCTAAATGGCTCTTTCTCTACATAGAAAAGTGCCTGCAGCAGCAACTTGAATGTTTCAAAAGGAACTGTAAAATTTACTTTGGAAATATGGGATCCATTTTGTTACAAATTTTGGTGTGATAACTTTGTTCATTTTTTGATAACTATTATTATCGTGTGAAGGATCACTCATTAAGCTGGAGTCAGTATCTGAAATGCTCATGTCAAACCCAATAACTTATTTTTCTGTGTTTTTTAAACCCTTCTGGAAGAGCAATGCTATAATAGGTTTGGAATAAAAGATTTCATATGATAGCTACTTTCTCAAAAGCCTAGATACATTTAATTACATGCTAAAATGTTACCTGCAGGACAATGTGGAAGTTCTTCTTTAGGAATGCTCGTCATTCTTTGGAAGTCGTCGTGACAAGCGTTGCAAAAATGTGTTGTACCAAAGCAAAAAAATACAGCCACTGAGCAGCAATAGCGGCATTTGTACTCTAGAAAATCTGTACCATGTTTGGGACACATCTACAGAAAAGAAGAAGAAAAGTCACAGTTTAAGGTCATGGACACAAGTTTAAATGGGAATTTGCTCTGTGTATTCCAATGGTTGGTTGTTTTATTTTTTGAAATGCAGGCAAAATGTTTCAGTACCTGCGCCCTCGAAACATCGGAGCAAGCACCACAAATGAGTTCTCTGGGATCATAATCATCTCCCTGGCCAGCCTCAGCATCACAACGAGCTTCTCCACCGAAGTAAGCCTAAAGGGGAAAACTCAGCAGTATTACAGCGTGAAGGATGGCTTCTGCCAAGAGTTTTAAACATGCAGATGCGCCTCTAGTCATTCTCAGGTGATACAATTCACCAGGATATGCCAGCTCTTCAGAGGTTAATCTAAGACATGTGTCTCATAAGTCTAAGTTGGGGTGGGCATCATCATCTGTGCCATTTCTATACCACCCCATACTGAAGGTCTCTGGGTGGTTTATAATACTCCATAAAAACCACACAACAAAATACAGCAACATATCATAAAATAAAAGAAACATTAACAATTTAAAACAGCTAAAACATACAGCAAAAATGACCCTTGAAGAACACCTGGGAATGGTAAAGCTCTCAAGCCTCTGGGACATCAAGTAACTCTTTAAAGGCCTTACTATAAAGGGCTGTCTTAACCTGGCATCAAAAAGATGGCAAGTTTGGCACCAGGTGGTCTGCAGTAGGGAGGTTGCTCCACTGATGGGAGATCATCACAGAGAAAGGCTCCCTCAGAGCTGGCACTCAGAGGAAGGTCCCGGAAGCTGAGCATAGTCTCTGAGTAGATTGCAGCTGGGAGAGGTGCTCCAACAGGTATGGTGGTCTAAAATCCTGTGGGGTCCCATTGAGGTGTCCTATCCCTGCCACACTTTATTTTGAAGAAATATGATAGTAGCTTTCCTTAGCAGAAGCTGGGAAACTTTTCAGAGGGTTTCCAGCTGGTGCCATCTTTATTTCTCAGGAACGCCTCAGGGCGACAGACGGTATTGTCATTCTTAGGAAATTGAGATGGCAGGCAGCTGCAGGCTGATGTTTTTCTGTGCTGCTTACCCAAAAGTAAGGGAAACTTACCCACCAAGCATGATGAAGGGCAAAAAGGAATGGAGACTTCTGACCCTTTAGTCTGGCAAGCTGGGTTAGCAAGGGGGCTAGGGAGGATGGCACGTGAGTGAGCGAGCGAGCGAGCGAGCACAGCAGAATTACACAGGTCAACAAACTGAAATTGTGAAAGATTTCACAGAGCTTGCTCGGTCATCAATTCAAAGGTAAGTTCCTTACCTTTTTGCATTTGTAGCAAACATAATAAGCATATCTGTTCATGGCAAAGCCAGCAGGGTCATTATAAAATCGAACTCCAGGTGTTGTAATGGCCTCACTTTTGTGCAGCCCTTCATATTCTAATCTCATCAACGCTTTCCTCTTCACATCCTCATAGAGCTCCTTGATTGGATCAAGCAAGTCCTTTAACACTGTATGATTTATTTTGTTCTGTTACAAACGAACAAAGAAGAGAAATCAGTAAGCTGCCTGCGATCATGTATTTGGAGAAAATGAGTATGGCATTTGAAAGAGAACAAATGAAAATGAACCCAAAGGAGCTGTATCAACTGGAAAGGAAAGAGCTTTATTTTATGACATATGAACAAAATGAACCTATCTATGTTTACCCAGAAACAAGTCCTCAGTAAGTGCATATAGGATTGAAACCTAGCTGTCTTAACACGACTTGAGGTTTCTCATAACACTTGTTCAAAGGAAGTATACATGAGTATAAGGCAATAAAACATTTTATTCCTTGATTATCATTATTCTAAATATTAAGTGACATTTACTAATAGCTTCAGTATAAAGATGCGTCAAAGGGTTAATTTTCTCTCTCGTTTTTTAAGTACTAGTCTCCAAACTGTCTTTATATTTGGGAAATGTGCTGCATTATTGACATAACTTATGAGAATTCAAATTGTGGTTCATGGGGTGTCTCCTCCTTATGGCAAACAATATTCCTCCACGTACTCTTCCAAACCACACACCAATATGTATACCTTACTAACCTGGTTTGTCTTATTGCTTGTTGCATGTAATCTAGTGGAAAGTATGTGTAGCCCAAAGTTACTTGGAGGTAATTAGTATCCACATCCAGCCCCAGATTGTACATTCATGCTGAATCATTTGGCCTGTATTTGTCTCTAAGGGAAGAATACTATGCATTTCAACAAAGGAAAAAAAAGTCCTTCAGCTCCCAGTATGCCTGGCCATGGAGGAGGACTTTAGCATAAACATGCATGGGATTGCGTCCTTATCTGTTTTTTTAAACCCTTCAGAACTGTGCTCGTATCTTAAATGTAACAGAGAACACAAATTTAAACTTCTATCTAGTTCTTAATATTTCCTAGCAATATTTCCAAGTTAGCATTGCATAGTATAAACAGTTGACTAGTTCAAAAAGTACATATCTTCGTGTTCATTTTCTCCAGCAGCAGTCTACTACAACCTCAGTGTGGTGCATGAGCTTGGATTTTGTTCTCTCTGCCACTGTACAACCATTTACCTTTAACATGTTTTGCGGTAATCAGCAATTAATGGCAATAGCAAGTGGACTGTGCAGTTTTGTTTTTCACAGCCCAGCAGTCCAGTTTACAACAACCATCAATTTTAGTCCTCAGAATCCGTTTCTCAAGTTAGTAAAGCAGCCCCTGAGCCTGTACTCACCTTGCAAATAGGACAGGACATGAAACCAAACGTTATCCGTGGCCCCAGCCATCTGTTTTCTAGGACTCGGCAACAGCATTGCAAATGGAATATGTGACTGCAGTCCAACTGCAAAGAGAGAAATTATCAGTACCCTCAGTGTGACAATCCTTGTCAGTTGTTGTAATACTGAGTTTCGCCTTACAAGTAAACAAGCAATCTCCAAGTTTATTTCCTGATCTCACAAGGAAAAAAGAGATCCACTTTTAGAAGGCTTGAGTCAATAACCATGCAAGCTGCCATTTCCCAGGGTCAGGTCTTCAGAAAGACATGGCCTGAACTGGCCTACTTATGCATTCCACACACAATTTACTAAACCCTGTGATGTGAGATGTTTGCTGCTAAACATGAATGGTTAGGCAGTACCAACTGGTTAGGCAGAAAAGGATAACTCTCTACTTCAACGCCATCATACTAATTAAAGTCTCAGTGCAGTCAAAACATTCACCATGGCTGGTGTTAGTAACTGCTTGTTGCCTTGTCCCACATTAAGCAATCCAGTATCTAGTGCTTTAAGTAGGATCTGCCCATTGAGAATATGGATTTGTGAACCCTGCTTTGCAACCAAACAGGTGTGTCAGCTATCGTACCATGATGTACAAAACCTTAACTGTGGAACTGTGGTTTCGGTATTCTAAGGTCATGCTTAACCCGGGTTAACAAATGTATCTTAAGTTAAAGAGTCAAAACGATCAGTCATATTAAACCAATTGGACAAAGTTCATCTATACCCACTGACAGCAGTGAAAGCTGCTCTCACTATTCAAGACCTTTGGCAAGACCTTTTTTACATCATTTCTAGTTTCCCAGTGAAAACTGTGATGTTGAAAACTCATCGTATGCATGAAATCTCACAATCCTGCCATTCCGGTTCTTTATTTTTTTTTTGTACCAAAAGGGGGGGAGGGTTAAAAAACATGTTTTACAGAACACCACAGATAATTGCCTAAACAATTTAAACCCAATTCAATTAATGTAACAGTCCAGCAGCAAAGGTGCATGCACTGCATTTTTTTAACCTTGGGGAACTGGGATTTAAAGATGCTCTTGAAAAGCTCTAAAACCGACTGAATTGGGAAGGGGCCTAAGAACAATCGGTACAATTTAGCACTGGAACCAGATATTTGCAATCAAAATGGAACAAGGACAGAGTAGAAACCTGAATTTTTTGTAGAGGTCACTGACATGAGCCACTGTAGGCACCGGCTCGGCACATTCTGTGTGGACGCGGCTGGCAGCTGAGCAGGGCACTAGACTGCATTTCTCCATGGGCGAAGCCTGCTACAGGAAGGCCACCCACTCAGAAGCTGGGCACCACAACTGTGCTTTGCAGCTGAAACAAGTGGCGCTGTGCTCCGAGAACCAGGGGCTATTCAGAGAATTGTTGCATGTTAACGGCAAAACCCAAACCTGAATGGCTGGTGCGGCCGAGAGGGCCTCTGTGAAGCAAATCATGCACATGTCGTCCGCGTCCTGTTTAAGGGTGGTGGTGCTCTTATCACAGCCATACAGGCAGGGCAGGCAGTGCTCCTCGTTCTTGACCCCTCCACAGGGGTGGCCGCAGGGATGCGTCTTGCTGCAGGCGATCTTTGCGTACTCCTATTAAAGAGAGACAAACACTCCTGTAGGATGAGTCACCAGTTAGGACCGACAACGGTTACTCTGCGGACAGGGGGAAACGCCTTGCAAGACATTTAACAGGGAGCAGCAGCGATCGTCTGATGCTCCTTCTCGGGTTTACGAAGACCTTCTCGCTTCCATTTGCCAGGAATGGGTATTTCAAGGAGCATGAGGAAACCTGGGTCTGGTAGGCAGGTGAGTACAGGAGAAAAATGGAGGAAGGCAAAATGAGGTGGAAGAGCGAATTCTTTAACCGGTTTGCCACTGGTTTGCCTCTTCTTCCAGGTATGTATATTTATCTTTCCCTGACAAAAATCTCTTTGTGGCAAGCTGAAAAACCAGAAGAGAACTCAAGATATCTAGGGGTACCAAGGGGTAGGCGACAGACTTACACTGTCTTAGTGCTTTGAGATTCTCTAAAAACAGTAACACAAAAGGATGGCAGCACCCAGTAACACAAGTTACACAGAAAACAATGTCATAAATCCTCATCCAACATGACTTTAAATCCTTCCATGAAAGGAACTCCAGACCTTCAGTAACAAATGCTACTGTTCCAATGAGGCATGCAAAATTATTATTTTTTGCTTGCTATTGAACTCAGGACTCCATCCTTTTATAAAAATTTTGGAGAAAATATTATTTTCTATAGCTTAGCTTTCACTGCCAAGTTTATTAAAGGACTGAGCCCCTGGCTCTTACGGCGCAACCACACCATGCACATGCATTGCTTTAAGATCACGCTGCCAGTCTACCAGCAACAGTAGCACGTGCACATAATTGATATCAATATTGGCTCCCAAGGCTGTGGGGTGTGCTGAGCAAACAATGTTCAGGGGAGTGAGCCGATGACCTGTGCTAGCCAGTATGAATGAGGCAAGGGATGAATGAGAAACAATGGTATTCTTGCAGAAAATCTCGTAAAGAGATTAGGAAAAGCAACCCTGCCAGGAAGTCTGCTGTTATCCTGAGTAAGCACAATACGTCACCAAGAGAGGACATGGGGCACTTAGAACCCACCCCACTGTTGTGTCCGATAGACCCGAACATGAAAGGTGGGCCCGGTTTGTTGAACACAATAACAGGAGGCGGCTGGCACAATAACAGGGAGTGGCTACGGGTAGCAGGGGGCGCATTGATATGCAACACTGAACGCGCCACATATAGCAAGGAACGCTTGATATGCAACAATGGGCTTGCAAAAGCAAATTTAACCACAAACTTGAGCTTCTGTACTTCACGCTTGCTTAATATGAAACGTGGTACTTTCCCACGGGCGCACAAAGTAACGGTTAGCGCCAAGTACATCCGGGTAGAAAATGTATAAAACCTGTACCATCCCAATACCAGGGGCCGCACTCCCCCCTGAGTGTTGGTCCCTGCACAGGTATATGAAAGGACCCTTCAACTCTCTATATTTCTTGTCCAGTGGTCTCATTCGATCGCGCTACAACACCCATCAATACGAGCCAGCAAATACAAAGGACATGCCTGTTTACCCAACAGAAAACAGACATGATCGCATAGCAGACAGGAACAGTTAAGGACATCAAGACCATCAAGCAACTAGCAAATAATGAGAACTTCCCTGATCCTGCAGAAGCACACATGGCAGAAAGAGTTTAAGGAGCCAGGACTTAGAAAATGGAAGAGACCTGGCACCCAGTCTAGAAGGTGGAAAACCTGCCATCTTCCTACCCACGAAAGGAACTACGGCCAAGACTCGGCAGAGCAGGACAACCAGGAGACAGGTAGTCATCTTGGATGCCCTATCTTTCTGTCAGCTACTCTGTATCTATATGGCTATTAGGCAGAAGGCTCTTTACTTGGAAAGACTGGGATGCAAAAGGAGTATGTGCTGCCCACCCAACATCAGGTTGAAAGTTTTGTGCCAGCTCTATATTTCCTTCTGAATTAACTTTCCTTTGCTTTCTAAGTACTGTGTATGCCTGGGTGACTGCCAGGCTAGGGTGTGGTTCCTTTTGACAGCACACACTAGATCCCGGCAAAGGGCCCTAAACTGCTCGAGGTAACTGGAATGCAGGTTCTGCTTTTGGAGGTGTCTTATTCCAAGATTCTTCAAAGCAAGGTCCGAATGGAGAAATTTAGTGCTGGGTGGGAGCAGGAAGCACAACTGAAGCACAATCTGCCTCACCCCACTCCACTGTCTCCAGTTTATCAAGTGTATTTGTGTACAACCTGTAGTCGAACCTTTTAATTATGGGCAAACACCTGAACACTTAAAATCAGCTTGCCTCATGAGTTCATGGAACCAAGCTGAATGTTAGCTTATACAAACCTGGCAATCGGCGTCAGAACAGACGCTCCCCACTGCGGATAATTCTGTCCCGTTCCGGCAGCCACAGAAACGACAGGCTTCAGAACTGCTTGTGGTGGGTTTGCCTAGATCAACAACACAGAAAAGTTGAGCTCCCCTCAGAATTTAAAAATGTGTATTGTTTCAGCAGAGAAACATCAACTTCTTTACCAGCACTGAAGTTTATCTAATAAACAAACATGTTAATACAGTTACAAGTAGAGCAAGGAATTGCAAAGAAAAGAAAGGTACTGATGAAGCTGCTTTACAAATTTCTAGGCAGGGTCTTTCCCAGCCTTATTACCTGAGATAATTTTTAACGGCAGGTGCTCAGGACTGAACCCAAGGCCTTCTATCTGCAAAATGTACTCTCCCACTTTGCTACAAATGGCAGGAACACACCTGAGTTATGAGCACTACTTTTAAAATAAAATGTAATATAAGTTATAATAGAACTTTCCAGTGGTAATCTACTACCAAGTCTTTCATGAACAATGTAAATTAAATATGTAGAAATTATCTCATATTTGCATAATTTTATCTTTTAATGATTTTGCAACATTGATTCTGCTTCTGCTAGAACCCAGTCCTCTGAAAAAGCTATTCAGCAACTGCTCTGCCTTTTGAGATTTGCACACTTATTACATACTCCAGGACGTCTATGCAATGAACAAGGAAAAGAAATTCACTTAAAATAAAAACATCCCAAATTTAGAGATCCAAAATTCTTAGGAAACTGAATCCTTTTATGGTTTTTCTCTGCTTCTATAGCATTGATATATACATGGCTTTATTGTGAGCAAAAACCCAAACAGAGGAAATGTGTATATGTAGGACTCACTAGCAGAGTTCAAATACATAGCTGCAAGTTTACTTTACATGAGACCTTCTCCTGTTTGAGCTGGTTATCCACCATACGTACAAGAGACCCCAGTGCGTGTAAGGAAATGAATAGCCGGTACTGAATGAGAAGTCAGTTGGAGAATGTAATCTGGCTCACATTACAAACTCATATAAGCAATGTATTTTGCACTGCTGATCTACAAATACCAGGGGAAAGAGAATGGAAATGCATTTCACCTGTTTGTTCTCTGAACTCCACCATAGCTTTCATGGTTTTCGAATCTGCTAGTGCCATCAGCCAGAACAACTTGGTCCTCCCACAGCCTTCATGAAGGTCAACCTTGATAGCTTCTTCCTCTTCTTTGAACACCTGTCAAGGTTGGTGAGACACATGTTAAATCGACAGTTACAGAATCCAAACAATGAAAGATACAGCTATATTAGTAGATCGGGACTGTTCTTTTCCCTGAGGATTAGAAAATACGCCTTATGCCCCACCTGTCTCTGGTGAGACTTTGTTCGCCGATGAAGATGGAGGAATCGATCACAATCTGTGCAGAGATTTCCACAGACGTTGCACAGGATGATTGCAGCTGTTTCCCCATCATCATGGTTATCACACATGGGCTAACAGAGGAGAGAAGCACAGGTCACTCTAATGCTATGTTTCCCTTTTTCCCCCAAGCAAGATAGCATTGCATTTTTAATAGTTCTATCTTGAAACAAGCTGCTGATCATCTCTAAATGTTTAAAACATAGAAAAAGTAATTGAAGAATCTCAGAGGTATCTTTTCTTTAAAAAAAAAAAAACCCCTCAGCTGTAATTTACTTTAAACTTGTTGAGCCGATAATATATATTTTTAATGAACAAAAATATAGCCAATTCCAAATGTGATTGTATAGGTCCACTTAATCTAATGAAAGCTGCCAGTTGTGTTTCACTTTCTTCATTTCTTCTACAGTAGCTCTTTTCAGCCATGAGACTCGAATCCCTCATCTGTAGCACTTGCTCTTAAGAGACAGTCACGTTCGGTGGTTATGCACTGCAATGGAGGATTATTTATGCTGGGCAAATTGGCTTTTAGAGAAGGTTATCAGCCTTCAGTAGCCTTCTTACTAAGCAACACTGATAAGCTTCTAAGGAACCTTCTGCTTCACTGCAGAATGGTCTGAAAAACATCCTAGGTGTATGAATAGATAAAAATAGAAACCAAGGACTTCAAAAATGCAGTAAATGTAGTGCAGCTAGTAGAGGTGGGGAGGGGATCCAGCCAGCCCTTCTCTGCAGCCTTTTCAGTTTTGGAATACTATTCTAAGATCACAGCCACTGCCCCACCAGCTGCTTTCAAAAATCAACACAAACATGCAGCTCATTTATATTGCTGAGTAAGTGACTTGAGTCTGTGGCAGAACGGATATAAAGCAAATGTAAACATGCAAACACACCAAGCCCAGCTGGTAAAAGAAAACTGGAGTGCATGGGGATAGATTTAGTTTATGTTTGCTGACAGACAGAACAGCATTTAATATTATTATTATGGGGTTTTTTTGTTTCTTCATTTAAGATCACAAGCACTAAATGTGAAGTGATTTAAATAATTCATGATACAGATTATGTATATATATCAATCTTTCCAGCAACCTTTGTCAAAACTATCAACACAATACTTGCAGTTCTAGCCATTCTTTTGAAACCTATTCAGTGTATTTGGTTTAATATGATTGCTGTTATTCTTCAAAACCCTGTAACAGAGGGGGTTAGGACCCAATGTCTGATGACTTTTACTCTGAAAGCAAATTGAACAACATCTATGGGCTGCAATTGAACAACATGTATGGGCTGGAACTGAACAACATCTATGGACCATCTATGGTCCACAACCTCTATGGACTGGAAAGAAAACAATACAAATTTCTGTCTGTGCCTCACCATCTGTTTTTGCTGTCCATCCTTTCCCATCCATCTTCCAGAAGAAAGCCTGTCTACATGGTCCTGATCCAGCACACAAAGAGATGCAAGAGCCAGCCAGAGCTGTGGGGAAGAGGACACAATCATTTAGCAACATGTTAAAAAGGCAGATTTATTTGTTTGTTTGTTTGTTTGTTTGTGATATTTATATGCCATCCTATTTCAAAAGCCTCAGGACGGCTTACATAAATAAGTTAAATTGGTTAAGCATATTTAACCAATGCTTTTATCCTGATACCTTATCTACCACTAACTTCACACTGTAAATTCTCTCTAGCAATGGCACTCATGCAACTGTTCAGCTGCATGATTATGAATTAAACATCAAGGATGTTTGGTATATTCTGTACCTCATGCCATCCTGATAGGTACCTTGTTTTAGGATTTTCTACTTAGGAAATGTAGTACTAATTTATTTATTATTAACATTTATATACTGCCATTATCTGTTTGAAAATGTCATCAAGGCTATACGTAAGAATTTACAACAGTAAACCCCCAAAACAATAAAACCAAGAATAAATGCATTACAACATTAAAATGACACATTCTGAAAAGCTAAATTGAAAAGATGCATCTTTATATCCTTTCTAATGGCAAGAAAGTTCTTGGGGGAATGCATTCTGCAATTTGGGGAGGGAGAACACGGACGCCTAACAAGCAAGATCTGCAGCTAATATCACCTTCAACAGAGCCTTTCTAAGCTCTAAATATTCAGGGAAGTTCACAGAAAGGTAGACTTTAAAAGAGGTTTTTCATTTTCCCCTACTGCTTCCTCTTTTCAAATGTCATTTTGACAGTCCAGCTCAACTATGTTTACTCCAAGTACAATCCTATGAAAGTACATATAAAAAACCTTAAACAAACCAAAAACAAACAATGGTGAAGTTCTGAAATCATGACCTTATTGCTAAAATGGTAAACAAGAAGATGGGATTGTCAGTTTGGAAACACTGAAAGTACCCTTTTTGTCAGAGGAAGATAGGTATCTACTTATGGAGATGGCTTATTGACTAATTTTATACGCAGTAGGGTTGCCATAATACGGGGATGACTTAACAGCATGTAATCTCAATCTCAA